CAGATCATGGTGACCTCTCTTCCCTCTGACCTCCTACAACACTTACCTTCTGCCCCAGGCACCCCAACCCCTACAGACATGGATGCTTAGGGCCTTAGAGATTATCAAGGTAGAGGTTCTCAAAGTGTGCTCCAAGCAGCCCTGGCAGGCCCTGAGACTCCTTCATGGGGTCTGTGAGGTCAAAATGATTTTCATAATAATAATGTACTGCTATTTGCTTTTTCACTCTCATTCTCTCACAGGTGAACCATGGAATTTTCCAGGAACTATATGACATGTGATTCTGCCACAGCTTGAGTGCGGAAGCAGACTTGAAAGCACAGCTATCTTCTATTAGGCCAGGCATTAAAGAGATTTATAAATATGTGATTTCAAAAGGTCACTCTTCTCACTACATTTATTAGAGCTATTTTTCAAAAAACACATTATTGGTGTTAACATATAACTTTGTTGTTATTTTAAAATGAATTAATAAGTATTCTAAAATTTCTCCACTTTAATTTCTAATAGCATAAGTATCAATAGTCATAACCCACATAAACAGAAGCTTGTTGGAGTCCTCGATAGTTTTTAAGAGTGTAGAAAGTGTCCTGAGATAAAAATGTTTGAGGATCACGCATCTCGTCCACCTCCTTCTCTTGACGGTTGAGGCTCAGAGAGGCGAAGTGACTTGCCCACGGTCCCACAGCTACTTTGGACGCATTTGATAAGTATTGGCTAATTTTATTCTGCATTTGTTTCATCGCTGGTCTCTCCAATCAGACTGTGGGCTCTTTGAGGGCAGTCCTGATCCAGCCCTGTCCTGTGATATCTCTTAGGGATCTCAGGTGTTAGGATCAGGTGATCATGAAGCTAGGGGGGACATGAGGGCCCCTCTAGTCAAGCCTCCCACAGCGCACAAAAGTTCACTCAGCATCCTAGCCCACAGTAACCCAGCTCCCATCCCTGCACCTGGGCGATGTGACAGGGATACACACTAGTAACGGGGGGAACCCATATCAGGTTAAGGCAGCACTCATTGCCTGAAACGAATGACTGACTGGAGCAAAAGCTGCCTCCGGCGCCGCGACCCACTTGCTGACTGACTGCTGGCCAAGCCTGGAGGGGTGGAAGCCGGGGTCCAGCCCTCGACCCCGCCCCCGCCCCGGAGCCCCG